CTGAGAATTCTTTTATTATCTAAGGAAATTTTGCACCGTCTGGAGGCTCATACGGCGTTGTTCCCCAGCACAACAGTCTGATACGTCACCCTTGTCGGCTCTCCATAACCGTCCATCAAATTTGTCGCGATCTATGGTCAATTCCGGCGCCATGCTAAGCAAAAACCACGCATGCGTGCATAAGGTTCTCGTCGCACAGTTCCGAGGTTCCTGCCTAGTGCAAGGTTGACTGTTCGCGGCGGTGGTGAACTGCACAAGCGCGAAGTTGAGCTTTTCCCATTTCTAAATTCGCCCGGGATATTCCCGTCATGCGGTGTCCTTGATTACGCGCACGTGGGGAGACTGGTCAAAGAGGCAGTAAATTGCCACCTGTCTCGCTCTCAGCAGAGCAGACTTGTGTGTCACTGCACCAGCATCGCCACCGCCGCACAATATATCGAGTCAATTCGAGAGGTCGGACATGAAATTTTTGACTAAACTTGCAAATTTTGATGTTTAACTCGTCTAATTTTAAATTTCAAGGGGTGGTTTAAGGAGAAAATTTCATGAGGAAACCAACGGAACCACTTCTAAAACCTCAAAGCTTTGTATGAACAGAGTTATAGGTGTTTAAACTTTCAAAATTGTGTCCGACCTCTTCAATTGATTCGATCCATTGTGCGCCGCTGATTCAGGACGTCCACATCCCGATCAGGCCCGGGACATTGGACAAGTCACCGCACCGATCAGTCAACTCGGCCACTTTGCCATGTTACCAAAGAGACCAATAAGTACAAAACGCCGCTTGGCTGACGAAAGGGCGTAACTACTGCTGTTATTTCGAGCCCATCCATAAAAAACCCCATCTCAAATTTGGAAACTAATGCCGCATTTGTTGCTTCTTAAATATGCTGGTATATGTAGGGTGTAGCCAAGTGCTAGAAATAATGTGACATGTTTATAAAAAAACCACTTACATTTTATCAATAAACTTTGACCGAAGCTTTTCGAAGCAAGCGCTAAACATGTGTCATAACTAGACTTCATTTTTCAATTAGGAACTAAATTTCTGGCTAATTTTAGAAACAACATATGTACCATTAGTTTTCCTATGCATAGAGGTGTTTTTATGAATGGGCTAGGAATTGTGATTCCTTATCGCAAAATGCGGTCAAATTCATATTAACTTACTGCAAAATGTAGTCCAACTGCAAATCAGCCAAACGCTGATAACGTAGATCTTGCAAGGGGTTAAGATAAAGGCGGATCCAGACATTTCGAACGGGGGGGGGGCGGTAAGGGGGAGTTAAGGGGGGTAAAGGGAATCTGAGAAAGCTTTCGCCAGAAAATTATCAAAATTATAAAGCATTTAATGCAATAATTTGAGTAAATTTCGTCATGGATAACTGTCAAAGAGAGACATCCTTACTTCTTCTTCCGTCCGTTCTTTTCGTTTTTCATTATTTTCCTTTTCTTCTTCCTCTTTTTCAATCGAACGGAGGGAGGGGTGGGCGCCCCCTACGCCCCCCCCCCTTCTTGGATCCACTTACGCGTTAAGATCTCTCGATAAAAAATACGAAATATCATCATGCATCATCACCACTGACCTCTGAGGAGAGGGACACTTCCACAAAACTATCATTCAGTGTGTTCTGTTTGTTTGCACTAAAAAGGTGCGTTGCTGACTCAAGCCTCGAGGTCTGTTTTGAAACAGAGTAACCCGATACCAAACAGTGCCAGTGGCGTGGCATGCTAAACGATACATCGATTGGTCCGCCATTTAAACCTATAGGAAAGGATCGATAAAGAGGGTGTTCCCAACGAACACCTTAATGATCGATTCTTTACCATAGCTTCAAATCGGGAAATATCGATAATCGATTATTCACGCCTCGCCATCCACTGAAACAGTCCGCGTTGTTCACCTCCGCTGGGTTTACCCGTTGACCGTCATGTTTTACTCAATGGTAGCGAAACATGCTCGACAAACAACAACCTCTAGAATAGGTACGGTCAGGTACAGTCGGCCCAACATCTCTTGTTGACTTTTCCATCCGCGTAATTTCAATTGCACACTTGCACCTGTATTACTCACCACAGTGACAGTGCTCACTGTCACTGTTACAGGGTCATCAGACGGATACGAAACGGTGACATTGTTCCTATTTTCATCAGTTGTATGTCACTGATCGGCCCGGTGGTGAGAATACTAGACGCGTGATTTTGCCAGTTTTCGGGAGTGTTAAGTTTCGCGTCATTGAAGCGCTCTCGTGCAGATTTAGAAAAAACTATAAACATGAGCATAGGTATTTTACATTTTAGAATGCGGCAAAGTCGCTAATTCATTTTCGTTAGAATGGATAATTTGCAGGTGTCTGAAATTTTATGAATTTCGTGTTTAAGTGGAAACTAAGTGAACTGAACACGAGGATAACCTTGGTTAGGTTATGGTTAGGTAATTGAACAATTATTGGAGAAGATATGACAAAATGATCCTGCTAAAATACATGTGTTTAAATGGGAAATGCCGCCAGGTGATGTCACCAGGCGGTGCATTTTCTCACTTTTAAATCTACTTTTATACTGTTTCCCATATCAGAAAAAAATTATAAAAAATACTGTGAAATCAGCTCTTTAAGCACTTTCAGATGGAGCAATGAAAAATTTGCATGCAAATTCTCCATTGTCACTTAGGCGGTGTTGTTGCTTACAATTAGTTCTCGATGTGCAGAAATCACCACCAACTTCATCAGGCCCCATACGGCTAACTCAATTCCTTCACTTCCAATGGCTTAGTCATCCCCGGAGGAAGATCAATTTCGGCCCGAAAGTAACTTGCGTCCTTACGAAGCCACCATGCAGGACCCCTGGGAGGCTTACCGTGTCTCTGGTGATATCTCGTCTCATTTCAAGCGTACTTCCTCCCAAACGTTTGTTCACTCATCTTGATCGTGATGTCGATCGATACGATAGCGAAGTGGGTATCGTTTGGGTATCCATCTACCCACCTCCGGTGACAAACGAGTGTACCGCCGGTATCTTGACGGGAAGCTGGGGGGAGGAGGGGGTTGAAGCAGCTGCCGCGACAACTTCTGCTCAATCAGGCGCGCGTCACTCTGATTCCGAATCGATGATCAAGAGCAGCAGGCGGGGGAGGGGGCAGGGGGGATCGGGGGCATTCGAGGTTCAAGGATGTGCTCTTTAGGCCTCGTTTTTCCAAGTCACGGATGACCGCGCTATCCAGCTTGCGATTCAGTTGACGCGACGTTGCTAGGTCGGGAAAGCTCCATATACGTATCTATTAGGAAGGGATGGATTTTATAGTTCAATGTGGCAGCGTTGTACTTACTGACAACCTGATGACCGCGTTGACACCAGCGCGCGCACTAACCTCCCCGATGAAAGTTTTATTGCGCTTCCACATCCGAAAATCGTCGTTACTAGACAGACGCAAACGCATGTGCGTATTCTGTATTCCGATGTAGGATGATGCGAGTTTATATTTGGACGTATTTCTATCAATCGGAACTATGTGCATTAAGACATGAGCCCTGAGACCCATAAGAATACACGCATGACCAAGCTCACGTCATAATGCACATAGTTCCGTTTGATAGAAATACGTCCATTTAATTCTCACCGAGATGGCTTTCGATAGTCTCGACGAGTGTTGACTGATTAATGGAGGGTGTGACGGATGAAGCGATTAAGAGTCGTTTTTTGCTTATTTCGAAAAAAAAAAAAAAAGTGTTTAACCTCTCGAGTCCCGGGGGAAGACGCCCTGCCATTTTTTCCGGTAGTGCTAGAGATCCGATGGCAAATCGGCTCACCATTTCAAGTCCTCATTCGAGCCACCAGAGCGTTGTTCTGGCCCGCATTGAATGGTTTTTATGCGAGCTCTATTGTTCTATTTTATGCCACCAAGGGGAGATTAATATTATATTTTTACTTTTTGGCAGTGAGAATGCGAAAAGTCAGAATGAACTCAGCACAGTGGCAGTATAAAAATCGTGAACATCTCCAGGTCTCAGGAGGCTAACGTTGGAAGAGTCACTTGTATTCGTAATACTTTAGAATAATTTTGAGGTTCAAAATTTTTTTTTTTACTTTTTTTATAAAATGCCGGGTGTAAAATTTTCCGAACACTGCAGATTTTTTTCATGAACGCCACGCGAATTCAAGTGACAGAGAAAAATCTGCAAGTACCATTAGCACCCTTCCGGTTACAGACGTCGTCCTTTTGAATATCGCCTTCAATTTCACCGGATAGGCAAGAAATATACCGAGGATCACGATTAGTTACCTATTCGAAACGCGTATCATTATCTCGCTTCATGCTTCAATGATGGATAGGCAACACATATGAGGAGGAATTCGCATAAACGTAGTCGTGCGCCAACCCATCGGTTTGTATCGCCCTGCAATTGAAAAATACTTGTTCAACTTTTTGGATAGCTACTGTTTAAGTTTAAGGTGATTCGATGGACGCCATTTTTGTGTCAGAAAGGCATGCGATATATCGCATCCATTGGCTCCATTTTTTCAGCTACCCGTCATTTTTCTCCAATTTTGAGATCGCAATTCTGTTGTCAGGAGACTAAACAATTCACTTACCAATTTTGACCAACGAATTCAACGTAATAAAGGCGTGGTTTTTTCAGAGGAAAAAAACCGCATTCGATACTGATTTCGAGACTGCACTCGAATGCGATATTTTCTCTCTAAAAAAACCACGCCTTCATTACGTTGAATATCTTTGTTAAAATTGGTAAGTGAGTGCTTTAGTCTCCTGACAACAGAATTGCGATCTCAAAATTGGAGAAAAATGACGAGTATCCAAAAAAATGGAACCAATGGATGCGATCTATCGCATGCCTTTCTGACACAAAATATAGCGTCCATCGAATCACCTGAATTGTAATCTCCTTCGTAATGATCAACGGTTTCCTTTAATTTTTTCCACTCAAGATTTGTGTAAAAAGTCAAGAGGAGCTAACAGTATGACCTTCTTTTTGTTTCAGGATGGCTCACCAGTCGTCCGAGCGTAATATCCCATCCGTGCGGGACATCTTCGGCCTGGACCGGGACAAGCGCTCCAACAGGAAGGAAGAGCGGGCCCTGGACGACGCGCAGCTCGCGCGCTTCCAACAACTGAGCCTCAACCGCTGCTTCCAGACCCCGGACCGCTCTCCCCTCTCGCCCACCCACGACCCCCTCGGGAATGGCGGGAACGACTCGGCCATCTCCGTCGGGTCCACCAGCGAAGAAGACCTCTCCGGCGTCGCCTCCTCCTCGCCGAAGAAGAAGAAGCAACAACGCTCCCGCCGCGAGAAGGTCATCCCGGAACCGGACGTCAAGCACCTGGAGAGGCACCTCTCCATGAAGAAGACCATCCGGAAGAAGATCATGCGCGACCTCCAGCAGGCCTTCGTCGAGGACCCCAACGAGTTCCGCGTCGAGGACATCTCCCCGGAGCAGCTCAAGGCCGAGATCAACGTCACCTCCCTGAGCTTCGGGACCTCCAGGAAGAAGAAGGACAAGCGGAACCCGACCGAGTCCAACTTCTTGGACTTCCTCCGTGCCGGAAGCGGCGAGAACCGGAACCAGGGCAAGTTCGACGATGAGGACTCCGGACACGGCTCGCCGACGAGGGATCTGTCTACCGAGAGGTTCACCAACTACGAGTACTTGCGACAGCAGCAGATGCTCCAGCAACAGCAGCGACAGCAGCAGCAGTTGCTGAGACAGCAAGAGCAGCAGCGCCTCCAGCGGCAACAGGAAGAGGAGCTCGCTGCAGCGGCTGCCGCCGAGGCAGCCTCGAAGAAAACCAGTTTCTGGAAGAGACTCACAACCAAAGGCTCCAAGAGCAAGAGATGAGACCGCGCCTTGGTGTAGTTTTTTTTTGTACCTTTCGTATTTTCATTTAACGTTTCTCGACTTGATTACGGGCCTTCGGGTCCGTCGGTTTCTCAGACGGGTCCGCTTTCAAACATTTCCATTGTTCCTGGGATTCGGAAGCGAAAGGCTTCCTTGGATCTAGTGATCATGCTAGTTCTCTTGTTATGTTGATCACCTGACCATGGTTGTTGCGTGGCGACTGCTTCAGCGGGTTCATCATTCGAATTGATAGACAAAGCTATAGACAAAGAAGACAAAAGGTAATTGGAGCAATCCTAACGGTGGAAGCGGATGGTTACAATGGACAAAGGAGGTAAATAATAGACTAACTAACGGCAACCCACGAAATTTAATGTAGGTGGTGCATCATTTTCCTCCCTAGTCTATAACAACCAACCTTTTTCAGCCAATAAGATCGCTCTATTTTCCGTTCGTCTTCTTTGTCTATCGATTTCAACAATCAGCTTGCAGTTGATAAACAACACTCTCGCTCCAGACCTCTTGTGGTCGTAGACGTTGAGTTATGAGGCGAATAATTTACCGACAGAATTATCTTCTAATTTTGGATTCCGGATGAGATTGAGAGCAAGAGATAAAGTTGGGCTGTTTTATTTAAAACCGAACGAAAAATTTATATTAGTCCATTTTCTTCGGAAAACACACGAAAAGAAGCTCATCTCGTTTTTTTGTTGTTGTTTGTCTTTGGAAGAGAAATGAATTTCGCGGATGAGTTTTGAAGTGGCTTCTCGAGTTTTGTTGTTAAAAAAATTTCTTTAGTCGTGTAAATACCTCATGAAATGGTCGATAGTAAAGACGAAGGTGAAAATTTGATCATTTTCCGAGCGGCGAAATGAAAAAAGTACTTTAACACCTTTTCAGTAAATGTTTTCATCTTACCAGAAAATTGTATTTTATCTGAGGGGACTATTTTAAATTCGGGCTGAGATGGCATGCAGGCTCCGCAACGTTTTCGCTGTGAAGTCTGATCCTGCTCACTCCTTTCACAGGTCTCCTTTGCAGTGGCGTGGCGTGAACTGCGATGCATCGATTGTTATGCCATTTAAACCTATAGAAAAGGATCGATAAACAGGGTGTTCGCAGCGAACGCCTTTATAATCGATTCTTTACCAAAGGTTAAATGGCATAACAATCGATACATTGCAATTCACGCCACGCCACCGTCCTTTAGGTGTCATGAGAGACACTGATGAAAATAGTCATTCCAAAGTCGAACGGTCGATTTTTTGTCAAGTAGGTAAGAAGTCCTCGCCGTTATATACAACATAAATAATTTTATCGACGAAAAGTTTGATCAAAAGTATTTCTTTCTAGTCCATTGTCTATTTTCATCCGCATGGAAAACTCAATGAAGTGACTTGTACAGAATGCTGAATTAATAAACTTAAACAGTAACTGCGAACATTTAATGGAATTTTTTAAGTTAGTATTACCGGTGTTTGTTATTTAGAAAAGTTTTCCTCTATCTTCTTGTAATTTACTCGTTTTTTAGCTGAGAAAATTTTATCGAATCCGCCTTTTCCCAACATGACTTCGTTTCTTGATATCTTGTCCAGATACCTTGCCTGAGAAAAATCAAGTAAACATCACAAAAATCTTGAAACTACGGTTTTACTATCTGGCTGAAATTATTGAATTCTAGTACTGACAGGCACATATTTGTGAATAATACTTTTAATCCCCCCCCAACCGCTATAGTAACAGCTGCAGATTGCAATGCTTTCATAATTCAAAATTACCACTTTACCTATCTTTTTTTCAAACCACAGGTTTAAAATTGGGCTAATTCGCTTGTCTATGCCTACCTTTATCGAACATCAGTAATTTTGAACTATGTAAATTTTCCTGTTCACGAAACCTTTCTTTTGAGGTAATTGATTGAAAGTTCTGTCATCTGTCAATGCGCAATTTTAGGAATAGTCTTATGGAGTAAAGAGAATCCAGATTGCATAATTTCCGTGACGAATCTCAGGCGCCCGAGGGGCTGAAACGAAGAGTTGGAAACCAGTTTTTGATCAGTGCTTTCAACGTCTTTCAAAAATATAGCATCAATCCTTTTTTGAGCAAACAGCTTTTTTCTTGCCAACGGAGCCCCTGATCATAAATTATGTACATTTTTTTGTTCTGGTTCCTTTTTGTGGCAAGAATAACCGGCCGGAAAGGAAATTTTACAAGTCTGATAGTTCCCAGCTTCTCTGATTAAAAATAAACATAAAATACAAACAGTACCTAAACTAAAACATGAATAAAAATAATATTATTAAAAATGCTTGAGATTTTATGGGAATGCATTAATACCTACATTGGTAAGCAAAGTCATCAGAACTAGGTACATATATCGTATTCCCTTGGTTCCTCTTTTATAATTTTACGTTTTTACTATTGTTAAGAGTGTACCTTCTGTTCGATTTTAAGTGTCCGTTTCAGATAGTAAGTGTAAGGCCCTTTTATAAAACGAACTGTAAAGCGGATTATTGTAGATGGTTCATTTATTCAGGCGTGTACAGTAGCTAACTGTATACCTAATGTAAGCAAAGAATGGCAATAACTGGTACTTCGTTTCTCACATAACTCCTCAGCATGAGGTCGTAGTCCAATGCTCGTGTGCTGAAGTGGCGGGGCGTAAATGATCGATTATCGACATTTCCCCATTTGAAGCTATGATAAAAAATCGATTCTTAAGTGTTCGTTGCGAACACCCTGTTTATCGATCCTTTTCCATAGGTTTAAATGACAGATCATTCTATATATCGCAAAGCACGTCACGCCACTGGTGTGCTGCTGATAATAAGTTGAAAGCAACATGTTTGGCGCGCCGTCATAATTTGGTCGTATTTCTACCAAACGGAACTATGTTCATTATTACGTGAGCCCTGTTATGCTTATGTTCATATGGGTCTCAGGGCTCATGTCTAAATGCACATACTTCCGTTTGGCAGAAATACGTTCAGTTTGGTAGGAGGTCTGGAAGGTAGCGTGACCGTGACCCGACTAATCATCTATCAAAACGATGCAGGTATCTACTTTAAGTGCTAATAAATCTCAAGGAAGGAAGCTGTCAGAAGTCATTCGTAGCTTCCGAAGTTATGAGGGTACACACTTTGACCCAAAGAATCGCTACCGTGCCAGTCTGGGCAAATGGACCGAAAATGTATCGCTAGTTTAATACCTATCAGTATCAGAGTGCATCTTGCACAGCCCGCATTAATCGTTTTAGTTTTGGTTTTATGATTGTGATAATTCTAGAGCTTAAGGATTTTTCGATCGTGTATTTTTGATAAATTTTAAATGTGATAAAACGAATAGATTTAGATTCTTATACAAATTTATTGTTGTTTTTATTTTTAACAATTACGAATTGTGTTCCACCTCAGCATACCCCAAAGTGAATATCGATGGTGAAACTGCAGAAGAGTGTATCTCGGTTTGCGGTGTTGCAGACTTCCTGTCCTACTTTATTTTCTACGGAAAAATACCGAACGTCATTATTTGAAAATTTAAGTGATTTTTCTTCTCTATATAAAGAATATTCTGTGAAAACTTCAAGCCATGATGTTCGTTCGGTCTCCTTTTAAAAAATAAAAAAAGTAACAGCGGAGATTCCGAAATACTGCAGTCGATATATCGACGGTGAAACTACCGAACCACGTATCTCGTTTGCGGTGTTTAAAAATCTACGTTCACATTTTATTTTTTGGAAGTAGATCGAATCAATATCATTCCTTGAAATTTTCACAGAATTTTCTCCGCGCGAAGAGGAAAAATCACGGAAATTTTCAAGGCTGGACGTTAAATAGTTTTTCATTTAAAAAATAAAGTATGACAGGAAGTCTGCGACGTCGCAAACCGAGATACGTGGTTTGGTAGTTTCACCGTCGATATGCATTGTTGCACTTTCACCGTCGATATGTTTCAGAATTGAATAATAGGTTGACAAAAAATGGAAGAGTGAACTGAAAAAAAAAGAAAAAGAAAAAATATAAGGAGCCCAGGAAAATAACGGTAAAAAAAGTAAATTCTAATCACATTCTGCCTGACCGATAGGACATGTTTAAAAAGGCTATACCTAAGAAAAAATGTAAAAAAGTAAAATAAAGTTTACAGGGAATGGATGAAATAAGTTAAAGTGGTTTTGACGGGGGTGTCAATAGGATCTTTTGTGTCCAGTTTTTTTGCTTTAATACATGAGGCTTGCAGTTATTGAGATTGTAGAAATAAAAAAGGGATACAAAACAGGGAAATAGGAAGGGAAACAAAAGTATATTCAGACAAAGTGTACAGGAAAAAACAATCATCACGACAACAAATCGACGGTGAAAGTCGGCAATCACATAACTCGGTTTGCGACGTCGCAGACTTCCTGTCATACTTTATTCTTTTAAATGGAAAACTACTCAACGGCAATTCTTTAAAACTGTCATGATTTTTCTTCTCAATGCGAAGAAAATTCTGCAAAAACTTTAAGAAATAATATCAATTTGCTCTCCTTTAAAAAAATGACGTAGAGGCGGAGATTTTCAGACACCGCAAACGAGTTATGTGATTGCCGACTTTCACCGTCGAAATGTTTTGATTATTCTCTACAGAGATGACAGTGATTCTTTATTTCTGACTCAACAGTGTAGCGCCCCTGGTAAAAATTTGCGATAGGAGCTGCGTTTCAAAATACCATAGGAGTTCTTATAGCCAACTAAAGAGGGCTATTGAAAATTATATAGCTGGTTGTAAGCGGAGAAAATCATATAGCCGGGCTATACGAAGCTATAAAAAAGTATACAGTCGGGCTATAGTTCCTATCGCCGGGCTTTACACTTTATCGCCATTGGCTATAAAAGGCTATAAGAAATTGTGTAGAAATTCGTGTGCTTTGGAAATCATTAAGTTTGATACGGAACTACCTTAATATTTACAAAACACACATTATATTTTCCTTTAAAACACATTTTTTTTTCATCAGTTAAAATGAGAATAATCCATACAGAGTGTGCAAACATTTCAAAATCATGAGTTGAAAAACGCTGACTCCGCGAGATTAAATATTGGAGCCTAACACAAAGCGGAGCGACGACGCACTGGCGCCTACAAACCTAACAGGGATACTACACGCATTGCGCAATGCGTGAAGTATCCCTGTTAGGTTTGTAGACGCCAGTGCGTGTTCTGCGCTTGCTGCCCGCCTGCCACGGCGCTTGAAGCAACTATTTCACACCAGAGGTATTGCACAGTATCATAAGAAATTGAAGGCGCTCCAACTTATTGAGAATGACAGACATCCTTCAAAAGTACGGAGCTTTCCTCGCTAAATAAATCAAGATACTACGGCACAAAAAGAGAGCGGTAGTCCAAAAACTAACTAAGTCCTAGTATCCGTATTTTGTAAAGTTAAGCATAAACTTTATCGTCTGGCTGTGTTTCAATCGCCATTGGCTATAAAAGTCCATAAGATATTGTATAGCCGGCTACAGAAGGTATTGAAAATCTTACAGCCAGCTTTAGGTCTATGGTATTTTGGAACACAGATTCTACTGCCAATTTTACCAGGGGCCTTGGAGGTGCCTACCCTAATTCTTTTTCTGCCTACGTTCTTTCTATTACGTGATCTCTGCAATATTATTTTCTCTCGTGGTTGAAAAAGTTTGCTCATCGAGAGAAGGGCCAGAAGTGCTTAAAATTTGCGGGCTCCTAAATTCATGTAAAACACGCCGCAAATTTGCACGGAGTCGCGAAGCCACACAAAAAGCGTAAACGAACGATTAAGGTGAGAGATGTGAGGAGCTTGCACATTTAAAACTTTCCCCGTCCTTTCTCCACCTGACCAAACCGTGAATGATGTGGAAGTCGAAAATCCACACCACGTTTGGAGATACTGTCTCGAAATGACCTTGTAAAATTTGTGGGATTCGTGCCTAACATTCGTGCGTCAGTTGGAAAGCCAAGATTCGCCTGTAATATAAGATTTTTTTCCCCTTGATTAAATGGACAGTGTCCATTGCAACAGAACTAAGTGCGTGAGCTTATTTTTAACAGAAATGTTGGAAAAGAAGATGAGACGTTTCTGGAATAAACAAAATAAGTTACCTCCTGATGGCTCCATTCCATCCAAAAAAATTCGACCGCGTTAAGCAAAAAGGGACCAAGTCACATCAGCTATTGCCAAATGTAACTACATTTGTGTCGATTCTTTGAAAAATTTTAAATATTTGCATCGAACTATGCAGAAGATGTACTGAAATTTGCAAAGGAAAAATCCGCACAACCGTTTTTCTGTAAAAAGTTGAATTGCCCAATTAAATTTGGCTGTAGCTGATGTGGATTGTTTCCTTCCCCCTTGACGCGGTTCAATTGTAGACGTTTACGTTGGCTCACTGCTATCCCTCAGGGACCTATACTGGAATTCTTGTAATTTTTGTAGAGAATTTTGAAAATTTCAGATACTCCAGATGAAATTGCAGACAAAATTCTTTGAAAATTTTAAAAAGAGATATTAACAGTTTTCCCAGGAAATTCGTTTTTAATTGATAGAGATATGGCAACGTTTGAGGGCTCATACGACGTTTCTCTCTACTACGGTAGGTAGCATATTCCTGCAGAGTGCATTCTCTCTAAATCCACGTTTCCCACTCTGAGTCTGGCCGCCTTCCGGATCTCCAGTGGTGTGGCGTGCTTTGCGATGTATCGATTGTTATGCCATTTAAACTTATGGAAAAAGATCGATAAACAGGGTGTTCGCAGCGAACACCTTAATAATCGATTCTTTATCATAGGTTTAAATGGCATAACAATCGATACATCCCACTTCACGCCACGCCACTGCGGATCTCCCCATTATTTTCCCTTGTATGGAACGTTTTGGCGACGGTGGCCAGTGCAGGAGACAGCACAACGGTGATACTGAATGACCTGGAAATGGAGGTATGAAAAAAGTGAAAGGCCTCCTCGGTCCTCGTGAGGAGCAATTCCCAATCGGTTGCCAATTTTAGCTTATCATCCTATTCCACCTGTTGATGATCTCCTTAAGTCGACTTAAGACGGGATTTTCGGGGCCTTCTGCAAGCCGAAACTCGATGAGAGAAAACCCAGCGCGATAAATAAAGACCTCTGATAGCGACTTTAGTCATGTAAGTTGATAGCGTTTATTCTCAGTGGGAACGGGTTTAGTTGAGATTTTTCCTCGTTTTTACTCAAATTGTATTTTTTAAAGGGATGCACCTGTACTTTTGTCAAGCGATTCTTCTTAATGAGTTAGCAAAACTGGTTTGTAGAAGCAAAAATTTAATAAAACATAAACAATTATAATTCATCACTCAAAAAAAAAAAAAAAAAAAAAAAAAAAAAAAAAAAAAAAAAAAAAAACTCGGTTCCAGGAGCCGTAATTACGGGCTAAATAGCACTACCGTGTGTTGCCGGTGAGGGGACCGTAAGTCTCCCATTCAGACTGTAGCAACAGCCTCTAAACCAGTAGCTTTGGAGCCGGAGTTTTTTTTTTTTTTTTTTTTTTTTTTTTTCGGTGTAATCAGAACTGCCCGGAAAATATCAAATTTTTGAGTCTCTCCCTCTACTCAAGCTCTAAAATCGAATAGGTTTCAATTAGACGGGCGTAAGTCCAAAAACTCATGAGCCGTAGCGTCCTACGTGATCAACGAAAGCCAGGGTTCATGAGTTTTTGGACTTACGCCCGTCTAATAGAAACCCATTAAACTGCGGTCTTGATTTTTTTTTCTGAGAGGTAAGAATATACTCACACGAAAATTCTAAAAACTAGGTAGCTAGATTGAGACGTCAAGACTCAAGAAGTACCTATGTTCTGGATAGAGGCTTTTTAATGTATAATGGAAAATCATAGTGGGTGGTAACTTTAACTGGCAACTACTTTGCAAGAGGATTCGGGCGAAAATTCCATCAGAGCCAGAATAAAAATCAATGGTTTCAATCATGATAATGTAAGGAATCAATTTTGATTCATCCCTAAATAGGAAGGAAATGTACGCTGTGAAAAATGTATAATGATATAACAATAGAATGCGCATGAGTTTTGAAGCTTCTTATTATTTTATTTGCTGAGGCTACGAGTTTCGGTCATAGTTTTAATGTAGCATTTTGAAGATAAACTGGATAAACTAATCTTCTTAGCATGGTCTAAGTGGTTGAACCTCACGGCGCGGAGAGGTTAAATGAGTGAAACAGTCAAAATGGTCGAGATGGACAAAACTGCTTGGGTACACAGTCAAAACTGTCAAAATGGTCGATAGAGTGTAAATGGTCCTAAAGACCAAAACAGTTAAAACTGCACATATCGCCAAAACGGTCAGAACAATCAACTCTGTC